AACTCAAAATACCTCCTCAAATGCAAATTACACATATATAAACCTCATACTTAGTTTCTTATTCTCTTAGTGAGGCTTTGCTGGGATTGAAGACAGATGCCACACAAAACAGCGCCAATTCCAGCTGAACTGGAAGGTGCTTTTTGCAGCAAAACTGAGTGTGATACCCCTTTAGTCCTCCCATCTCCCATTGCACAATTCCCTTACTTGCCCATATTCCTTCAAAGGAATAATCTGTTTTCCCACACATCAGAGAATTTGCTCAGCCATATAATTTCCCTTCGTTGAGGCCTTTCTCTCATTCCAGAGTCACTTTGATTGCAAGACTGAGCTCTACTTAATGCGGCTATGAAAATTTTCTTTGTAATGCAATGCAAAAACTTCACAGAAAGCAGTCGTCTTCGCTCTAGACAATTAAGACCAATTACTGAATATCTGAACACACTGTGCACAGCCTTAAGCCAGAAATCCTCTTCAAATTACCTCAAACTGATGATATATACTTGTCATTTAATGAAGGTGTAACTTTTGACCACCTCAGACAATTAATGAAATGAGTAAGTCTTTCAACGTTTTCCCAAATGACTGAGAGAAACAAATCCTGGTTCATTTTTAATACATCTTCTAAACAGTATGGGGCAGGAACTTGTAGCGTTAGTAGCCTAACTTAAAAATTCAGGAGAAAGCGCAGTCCTGCATTGTTGTCTTTCCCTTTAGATTTGCAGGTGGCCTACAATCTGCTCAACCAGCCAGCAGGAAAATAGGGTCTGGCTGAATAGCTACTAGCTAATACAATCATTCAAACCAGAACAGACTGAAAACACTTTGACTTTTACATTGATTTAAATAAACAGAGTTCCAGCATAAGAGAAATTAGGACGATTGCATGATTGGCACTGCAAATCAGGGAGAGAACAAAAAAAAAAAGGCCAGAGACAACATATTTCAGACAATTTCACTGACAAGTCAAGCCATCAGTTCAGAGCCCTTCGAGACAAACCTGTACCATTTTTCAGAAGAAAATTGCCAGTTGCGGTAAAGCCTTTACGCTATTCCAACTTCAGACACTTTCAGTGGTACAGGCACCCGGTGTCTTCGCCTCTACTTCTGTAGATCCACTAGAGGGAGATCCTAAATTAAACAACCCCAACTTATGCCAGCAATACAACAGGTGGAGGTGCCAACTGCAAGCAAGATCAATGACATTTTTCAAATATATGCAAGAGAAGGAGACTATAGGATTTTTTTCTTTATAAAGAGTGAGAAAGAGCCGTAACAGCTGACTTGCAAACCAAAAGGATGTCCACAAAGTAATCTCTAATATTCCTCAGAAGTCATTCGGATTGCTGTGAACCCCTGCATAAAGTTTAAAATTCATCTACAGTTTTATGAATTTCTGAACAGTAGGCTCAGCCAGCATTAAAACTGCCTTCCTTTTATGAATAAAATACAACTTAAATAACCAAGCTAATAAAAGAAATTGCCAAAATGAGAAAACACAGCAGAAAATAAGGCTACTGCAAAAATCAAACTTCAATTGTAAGCAATTCTGGAGTAAAAGGGAAGTTATCTATATGGGATTTCTTTATTTACTTGAGATGGAGATTTTATATGCTGGTTTAGATATACCAAGAAACAGCAATTTACATAGATTAGAGACAACTTGTCCTCTTTAGGTAGAGATTTTTGAAGCAATATTGTCAGAATAGCAACTAGCACTGCACGTATTAAAAATTTCTGAAAGTCTGGCAGATAAGTAAGAAGAAACAGAATGATCAATATATAACGTATCGATCTTTACATATTAGCACAAATTCCTATTGTAACTTATATCCCCTGAGGACTTTTAACAGACCGTTTCAAAAAAAAAAAAGGCTAATTTGTATAATAAGAAGGAGGGGCAGTTGCAAACCATTTCTTAAAATGAAGAACTAACATTAGAGCCTCAGAGCCAGTGACCCATCTAAGTAAATGTTCGCCTATGTCAGAGATGCTAAAAAACCCCCACCAACCTAAACACATTTAACACCAAGGATTTATTCTAGCTGTACTTTTAGTAAATTATACCAACCACAGAGATAAGAAATGCATTAACTTTAAGCAAGGAGTCCAATTAGTTTGTTTCTAAACTGCAAGCTACTTAGTATCCTATTGCCATTACTGAAATAGGCATGTTCAGAAAAATACTTGATATTTTTTATTTCTTACACTGATACAGGTCAGAAAAAATTAAGTAATAAGTAGATCATACACTGACAAACCTCCCAGTTGATAAAACTTAAGAACACTTGTTGACAGTATTCTAACACAGATATATTATGAACATTTCTCTTTAAACACTGTCTAGAAATGGTAGCAGGCTTATAAAGTGATTCTGCATAATTATGAATTTTTTCACAAGCAGCAGTGCAAAACAACTCATCTTCAGACATCTGCTGAAGTGATGCTGCTAACATTAAGCTTTGGTTTTATTTCATCTCGATGGGAGCTAGAGCACCTCTATGTCTGTGAAATAGGTGACAGCTAATCTAAACAGCCACAGTATTTCTTGGCTGACAGAAGTTATAGAAGACCGGTTATCTCCTCCTGTGCCAAAGGTGTCCACCATTAGCTTGTGATGCAGCTAATGCATTTTGACTCATACCTGCTACTACTACCAAGTCAAATCACAGGATAGAGAAACAAAGCGACAATCTTACAATTCAGAAAACTTAAAGGTTACAACCAGTTGCTATCAAACATAATTACACAACTTAATTCATTTTCTTGTCAGATCTATTTCTCAAAGCCATGAAGAACAAACTAGGTAGACTACAGCACCATAGCCAGGAACCCAAACGGGATATGATATTACAGTCATACTCAACTCATTTCATGAGCCACACAAAAATCCACCTAAAACCAAAACAAACCTCCAATCATCATGGATTGACTGGTATTAAATTGAATGAAGCACACAAACTGAAGGGCCACTTCAGAGATCAATGAAGAGACTTCTGGTAGAATGATTTGGAAGAATTCACGATTTGGGATGAGCAGAGGACTGAATTCTAAGCACAGTGGCTTTTAGACTCATTGCAAAGCTAATTTCCCCTCCTCTTCCCCCCATCATTTAAGAAATTATTGAAGTTATACAACAGAAAAAAGAGTTACTTTCATTGAATTGTTTGCTCCTCATCATTTAAGAAATTATTGAAGTTGTACAACAGAAAGAAGAGTTACTTTCATTGAATTGTTTGCTCCTGTGGAATTACATTGATTCTAAGCTATTGCCTAAATGACATTTTGTATTATTAAAGTCACATTCAAGGAACCATCTAAAAACAATTTTAGTTTTGTTCAAGTCTAAACAATCTGTCTTTATGAACTGAAATGGCATCTTAGTTCAATAAAATTTCTGCTACTGAAGAATATAATAGTTGTTAGCCCACATATACTTTGCATAAAGCAGCAAGAGAACTAGTCGTTAGATGAATCACAATGATCTGTGAAATGAAAAATCAGACACACTGACCAATTAAAACATGAGCACTGTCATGCCTGCCCATCATTTCAGCCTCTCTAGTAGCTCAGTTTTAGTGTCAGGAGGAGGAGTTAAATTAAATGATAAAAAAAAAAATATATGCATATAAACACACACACACTTGTTTGAAACATGCTGTACCAAATTCTTCAAGTACAGGTAACAGGAAACAACATAAACCCTTCAAATTGCGGTGATTACCATAAATCAGGCCTTTTCAGACTTTACATCAAATGAGTAGAAACCAACTCGTGTTCCCAAATGTTGTTTGGCGAGGTGATAAACGGTCAGAGCACATGAAAGGCATACATACAATCAAGTAACCTTTAGGAAAAGGAGAACTGAGGGATTTAGAGGAGAAAACGTCTAACTGAGAGGCAGGAGAACAGGATACACAACTAGGTTATTTTAGCTTGCAAAAAGACACCTTATACCTCTAGCTACCCTTTATATTTTGGCCTCGTATGCTGCAGAACAGCATAAGCACTGCAGAATGTATCATCCTTCTTTGTCTAGATGGTTTAGTTTCAAAAGTTAAGTCTTGAAACAGCTATCAGAATGAAAAGCAGCTGGAGAAAGTCACCCTTTTTTGCTGTAGCCGACACAGCCCTAGTAAGGTTATCTACAGCCTTTCTCTCTACAAGAGAAAGAAAACTGGCACAAAAGTACTATCTCTTGTTACATGGGCAATCTTTAAAGTTTAATGAGGACAAAAGAATTCTATTTGGTTATAAGAACACAAAAGTCTCTTGAAGTCTTTTAAAATAAAAACTCCCTCTGTGCGTGTCCCAGTGTTATACTGGTCAATTTGCTGTAGAGCCTACCTAGAATATATTACAGATACCAGCTGAAGACTGAAAGCCCCTATGTTTTCCACCAATATTTTAAACCCTCTATGTCATCCTATTCTCCAAATTGATAGATCTGTTGTCTAAATTATGTGTTCATTTGAATGTTAGTCCTGGATCCAAGGTCTCCAAGGTAGAAAACTCTGTATGGTAAGAACTGCCAAAGACAACCTGAATTCCAAAGTTCAGAGGAGAAAAAAAAAAATTTACATTTTCACAATAAACCAGTATTCAATGAGAAGGAAAAATACCAATACACATTAAGAACACTAGGTATCTCTAGAAATCCTGAAAAGTACCCTGATTATGAGCTACACATTTTTTAGTCAGGTGTTTTGGTTTTGTTTCCTTAAAAAAAAAAAAAGCAAAGTCAGCAAGTTTCTGTATGTAATAGATAACACGAAAACAGGTTTACTTGTTAGGAATTGCATTTACACAGATGGCAGTTAAGTTGAGAATCACTATTAAGCAGCAGCAATTAGGCAGACAAAACACTCGGATAATTAAAATGGCTAGAGGCTGAATCATGATTAGAAGCAAGACTTATGGACTTTTATGCATAAACATTTGAATTTTTTCCATCTCTGTATTTGAACCATCTTCAAAAAAAAAAGTTAAGAGACTCTTACCAGCTTCCTGTGAATTTAATACTTCTAAGGCATGCATCATGGCACTTGCGAAGACGTTGGCATCTTCTTTGCTGCCAAAATTCAGACCATACACCTGCCTAGCATCACGCCACTGGTGGAAGGTCTGTGTAGCCTGATTGTACTTCAGCCCTTTTGGAATGGCACAATTTATTACCACCTATAATCATAAAAAAAATAATTTACTGATGTTTAAAATTGCTGTTTCATCACAAGTTTTAGCTTCGTGTAGGTTTTATTGCTTAGCAATGTGGGTTAATTCCATCCCCATAATCCACAAGATCAATGTTGAAGCACATAGCCATTTCAATTTTAATTCCAATGCCACATGAAATCAGTGATGAGAATACACAAGGGGACTACTGAGATATTTTGTATTAACTTTTGTAGCTCAAGCATTCTCATTTCAAATGATGCAATGATGCTTCAGAACAGCAATGTAGTAATATCAACAGTTCTGACTTTTAGTAGCAGAATACTTGATGCAAATATGCGTTTGGATTTCAGAAACTCAGTTTTCCATTAACTTCACAGAGTACTTGTTAGAATTATGTTTTTTAAGCAAGTTATCACCTTCTCACTGTGGCTGCTGCACCCCTTGGTTTGCCATGCTTTCAGTAGCAGTTTACATGGACTTCTACTATGCATCTCAGGGTAGCATTTTGCAAGATCCCTATGGCTCACACAAAAGATGATAAATTCTAGCTAGTAGAACAACCGTTTATTACAAGCTAGCCACTAAGAGGCTCTCATTGCACTTGGATAACTATATCCTCTCACCTTTTTTCACTGAATAATGGGAGAAAAAAAAAACCACTGGTTTGTTCTCAGATGAATGCACAGAGATCATTTATTCGTGGAGTAAGTGCTTAATGACAAATCACACAAGAGATTATCAGTCTATGCTTCAGTTGTGTGGTAAATGACCAAGAACAGACCAAAAGAATTTTATGAAATGCTGGGAGAGAACAAAACATGTAGAAGCGTTCCTCAAACAAAAAGATTAGATCTTTAACTCCACCCCGAGTATCACAAGGCAGAGCATATCTCAAGACAGAGTGCTCAGTTTGCCATTTAATCAAGATCTAATAAATTCTTCATCAAGGAAATTAAGATGTAATCCTTGTTGCTCCCTTTTCAACCTCTCAAAGTGGGAGATGATCAGCATTACCAAATGTCAGGAGATGGTTTTATTTTTTGAATGAACTGATATGGGGAAATGAGAAATAATGCATCCAACTTTTCATAATATAGGAAGAGCCACAACAGAACTGCTGGTACCGATGTAGACTGCAGCTAAGAGCAGAGAGTAGGGAAGAAGAAAAGTTCTTAGGCTGACACTTTGCCTTAAAGAGAATCAGATGACTTCTGTACACACCACTAGCCTTCATATCCGTCTGCGGGAAGGAATGGTAAAGAGCACACAAGGACTATCACATTGGATGTAGGTAAAGTGCTGGATTTATGGGGGGGGAAGCCATAATACAGTTTTGATACTTTAGATAAAAATAAAAGTTCATTATTTACTGTTCCCATAATTTTACTGAAGACATATTTCTCAATGTTAAAAACAATCACAAGAAATAGCTTAAGGTTCCTATTCCAAATTTTCAGAGATTTGCTTACCTGATGATCCTGAATCTTCCTGCCCACTACTCTGAAGGTATTGTTGCCTGTGTGATGATATATATGAACTCTGCTGAATCCAGTTGATCCACCAGCTGGAACCCATTTCTTATTGGCATCATCATAGACCATTACAGCAGCTCGTGCTTGGCAGATACTCTGTTCACTGTTAAAATACAAGTATTTTAGAGTAGAACATAAAATTACTTATAGCAAATCATCATCTTTTCAGTTAACTTTTTTTTTTAAACTCAAAATGTTAAAGTAATACTCCTTGCAACTTGCTGAAACATCCACCTTTCTAAACAGAAAACCGCTAGCACTTTCACTTTTGCTTAAAGGTGTTCTGAAAAACTGTGGTCGAACAGGCCTAACTACTAATGAAAGAGATCAAGAAGAGATTTACTTTCTTTTTTTTTTTCCTCACCTTTCCCCCCTTGCAGGTTCCCCCCACACCCCTTTCTCCTCACCACCAACTATTAAGTTTAATTAAATGCCTTAACTATATACAAAGTTTTCTGCAAAGACTGGAGAACAAAGAATCTGGAGTTGCACTAGTTCATACAGTTTACATTTTCCAGTGACAGTTACTTCTACAAGAAATGAGGATATGGGTTTTTTTTAACCATACACAGAAGAAAACACACATACACACATGATAAAGTTCAGCACAAAAAGTTCACCTGCTCATAAATGAAAGGCTTTTTGGTTTTGACATATTTTACAACAGTTGACACCTAGATGTAACATTTTCTCCCTGAGAAAAGGTTCTATTGATTACTGAAAAGTGCAATTTCATCAGTAGCTAATCCTGATTATGGCAGTCATCTGGAAGCTAAGGTACAGCCTAAAGTTGAAAGGGAGTGTATCACGAATGTCATCATATTAGAAACACAAGAAAGCAGAACATACCATAAACACACTATTTACTAGGAGAGGAGCAGGTGATACCACGCAAGTTGTCTTTACGGGAAATGTCCAGATGTAGACAGGAAATAAAAATAGAAAGGAATGATTTCTTATCAGTAAGTCAAATTCTCTGAACATACCACTCCAGCACATCCAAGATTATAGAAAGCACATGATGCCTGGCTTGCAAGGAATGTGGCCTGCCGTTTGGAAAACTGAGAAGACTGAAGAGGTATGCATTCGCCATGAATTACAAAAGAAGAGTAATGAAATATTTCTTCATATTTTATAAAGAAGAGAGAAGACAATTCTCCCCCAGCCTTTCTTGGGTTTTTACTGGTTGGTTGGTTGGGGAGGAGGGGAGACGGACAGACGTTGTGTGTGTTCGTTGGGGGATTTTTTAAAAACACCATGCTGAATTTCCCAATGTCTTATTTCTATCTCCCACCACAAGAAAATTCAGCAGTGTATCCAGCTGTTTTGTTAACTTTCAGTACTGACACTTTTGAGAAAACACAGCACCAATTTCTCTCACACTTTCCATGGCACTCCAACAATTAGAAAAGTGCTCAATGCTGGGATGCTTTTCAAGGCTAGGGGAGAAGAGAGAATACTGACATCATGTCTCTTATGCATGTGAGAGACTCAAAATGAGGAAATATATTCTTAATTTTAAAAATGCACATGTTCTAGTCTTGTCACCTATTCAACAACTAGATCAGAATGAGATGATAACCTCTAATTAGACCACCTTTTTTCTAGCCAGAAATTAGTTCAATATAGGGATAGTAAAATTATAATATACATATATACAGTGCTTCTTTTCTAAACATAGTCCACCTTATAGTTTACAATTTCGACCAAAAGGACCACATCTGATCAAAGATGAAGATTAGATGCAAAGAAAATAAAATTAGTTACAAATTTCAGGTGTTTCACAATCCTATTAAAAACACACCAAGAGTACCATGCAAGAACCTACTGGATTTTTCTTTTCTTTTTTTTTTTTTTTAAAGACTATTTTGGTACACAACTATCTTAAAGTTCAAACCTAGAAACATTCTGTACTGTTCACAAAGTACAGAACAAACAGTAGTGGTTTTTCTAAAATGCATAACAGTTATTACAGAAAACTTCTGTAAAATTTCTGAACACAAAACAAATTTTTGCTACATTTGAATTTGGATCAATCACAGGCATGCTAAACCACAGGTGACAGGACCCAGATACTGATATGGAAGCAAAGCCATGTGGTTTGCAGGGTACTTGGCAAAAAATAACTTCATCTCAATCATGTGTCAGGCAGATAAGAAAATCATTTAGATTCTATTAAAAATTGAGACTATGAGTATAAGCTAATATGTTCCAATTACAATGAAGGCAGAACCAGAGAGTGATTGAGTAATGGTACAGTGATTAAAAGACTTAATTAATAGTACAGACCATCAAGTTCAGATGTTCTTATTCAGAGCGTTCTCACTCTTTGCCCTGCCATGGCCTCCCACAGGCCGAAGTTTTTACAAAACCTCTGGTTTTACAGGATTTTATTTAACATAACAAGAATAAAACTGTACTCATTCTAGAACTATTTGGTATTCAAGTGGCACAATTCATAAGCACAAATAAGATGACCTTGAGTAGAATTTCTAGCTTTTCTTTAACAACTAATTTTAGTTCCACTTCTCAGGCTATGCCTTATAACTGGAAATATTACCCAAGTCTAGATCTCAAATATTTCATGCTCCATTTAAAGTAAAAGAATTTTCTTAATAGCAGGGGATTATTCTTAACCATATAAAGATACAAGATGATTCACATACTTTAAAAAAAGACAAATACAAACAATTTCCAGTTGACCTACTCAATCATTACACAATAAGCCTTCTACCTCTATTTCATACAAATCCTACAACTAAAATTTTAATGTTCCAGGTCTATAATTTTCATATCCAGGTACCAATTTGCAGGTGACACACTCCCCTCCTGCCAACAGTTCCCACCACCCATCACTTTGTTTATCAGACTGCAGCAGTAAGATAGAAAAATAAAGCTATCACTATCAGAAACAAATTAAACCATCCCACCGCGCTATTTTTTTTCCAGGGTTCAATAATTGCACATTACTAGATATAGGGGAGATTAATTTAATTTCTTTCCCTGAGAAAGAAGTTCTGCATTCTAAAGTGATTACTTTTTGTTTTGAGGAAAAGCATGGAGGCAGGAGCTTTAGCAAAGAACCATCTCTATGTCTGCTCTTCAGTGACCCTTTGATAGTTTCATATTTGAATACAGTATATACTATATTACAGCAGTTAGCCACCATAAGTCCCCCAGAAAAATTTCATTTTTAAAAAATAAGATGCATACCTGAACTGCACTAACCTCAAAGGGCCAAACCAAATCGAAAACCCATGCTGTTAGCTCATGACTATCTTTGACAGGTCTAATGAAAAAACAGGTTTAGTTTTCTTTCCATGATCCACCTTCTCCTAGAAAAATGCTGAGTTTAACATACAGGCTGTTACTAGAACCTGAGCCACTGCCCTTTGTATTCGTCTACTATATATGAACTTAAACTTCAGTTCAAAGGAACAGGAGCCAAGTGAATCAGAACAGTGTTGTTTATCATATTTCTTGCTCTTCAAGCTTATTACACTTCCCTGCTGTACTTCTAACAGGAGACAGGTCTTCAGTGATGACAATATTTATATGTGAGCTCTTCAGAGTCCACAGGGTTTTCTGCAATACATGTGTCCCTTAGACTGCAGGAACTGACCGTAAGATGCTAGAAGATGACTGACTTCATTCACTGCACCAGAATCACTTTGGTCTGATCACAAATGCCTTTTTTTTTTTTTTAAATTTAAAAAAAAAAAAAACCAACAACATTGCTTTAGCACTAGTGGGAAATAAATAAATTGTCTACAGTCATGTCTCAAGAGAAAAGGAAAAGGGTTTTCATCTCTTTGCCATGTCATTAGGCCTTCAAAAGCATCCTACAGGGTTTACTTGCCTGTCTACAGATTTTCCTTTTTCTGGTGTGTTATACTGGCGTAATGGTCCCAGCAACCATTACGCTTGGATTAGCCTTCACCTTCCCAACATGAGAGCTCGTTAGGGGATGTGGGAGAATGAGTGAAGGGATCCATCTCCAGCTTCAAATGCTACTGCCAAAGGCACAGCTGCTCAAAGAACTGATTGCTACCTTATTAGGGCAGTGGCTTGGGGAATTAAAGTGACAATCTAAATATTAACTAAGAAAAATTAAGAAATTGTCTGTTCCCAAGTAAATTTACTACACTAAGTATATGAAATTATATGCAGAAAAGGGCAAATTCATAAAAGGGAACACTCATGCAAAACAGTGCTTACCAAACCTTAGGAAACAAAGTGTAAAAGCTCTCTTCCCAAAATGTAAAGCTTGACAAATAGCTGGATAAATATATGTTAGGAGGAGTTCTTCTCTGGACAAAGATGTAAGGCTCTGATTGTTAAAGCCAACCATTATTCTGGATAAGTCCACCTACAGCAATACCATATAAAGCCAAAGACAGGGTGGTTGTTTTTTATTTGGGGTGGAAGAGTGGGGGGAGGTCTGGCACTCAAAAGGCTCGCACAAAAAAACACAGTAGTAATGAATCATAAGTATGAGATTATTCTTATGGGAGAATATACTTTCCTCCTCCAGTGATGAGATCATATGGAAAGCTCAAAAACCATAGCAAACTGAACCCTAACAGACATCATTCTTTCGCCCAGATGGAATGTGTTCATTCTTTCACATCCCAACGCACAGTGACACCAATGCACAGTCTGCTGACCTAAGCCTTTTCTTTCTCTCCTCAAAAAGTGGATGCTTGGTTTTCCTCTCTCAAGAACTAAAAAGGATAAACAGACTTAAATGATCAAACTCAGATGGAAAACAGCATGACTGCAGCCACAGAAAAGATTATTTAAATATACTAACAAAAGCAAGGAAAAGCTGTGATTCCTCTGATTCTCAAACCTTTAGTAATTTTGTCAGTGATGTAACAACAAGGGTTTTTTGAAAATCGTATCCCACTACCGCTTCTTCTGATGATTCAGGGTTTTGTGGTGGTTTGTTGTTTTTTTTTTTTTTTTGCTATGTTCTCAATTTACAGAAACATAACAACATGTTCTTAAATGTGCAGTCTTTGTGGGGCAGAAGGAATGGAAAGAGACGCTGATTCATCAAACGCCTGTTTAAGCTTTTTAAACCATGTGGCACAA